TCTATCTATCTATCTATCTATCTATCATCTATCTATCTATCTATCTATCTATCTATCTATCTATCTATCATCTATCTATCTATCATCTATCTATCATCTATCTATTTATCTATCTATCTATCTATCTATCTATCTATCTATCTATCTATCTATCTCATCCACCACTCCATCTCTTTCTCCATGTGTTTTTCTCTCCATCTCACTCTCTTCATCACCTTATAGATCTCTCTTCTTCCATTTCTTTCCTCTTTGCCATCGCTCTCTCTTAGCCTACCCCCATCTCATTCTTCATGTCTATGTCTAAGTGTCTCTCCATCTCTCTAACCACATCCTTTCTCCATCTCTCCTCTGATTCTCTCTATCTTGCCATATCTCTTTCTCCATAAAACACTCCACTTCTCTGTCTCTGTCTGTCTCTATGTCTCTTTATCTCTGTTTCTCTCTGTCTCTGTCTCTGTCTCTCTCCCACTTCTGCTTTTCTACCTTACTCTATCACTTCTTCCCTTTCCCTTTCTTTTCATAGGTTCTAACTTCTGGCTTGGGTCTTATTATCAGATAAACTTTCTCTTTCGGGTAGTAAGGATGACCCCTGACATCTTCAAACTTACCCAATCCATAATGCTATAATTTCAGAGCTTTACTTTTATCACAGCTAACAGTACACTCTATTTAGAGAATAGAATTGTTCTAAGAGGCACTTTACCAAAACAGCAGTCTCTGTTCCCTGTTCAATTTCCTCCCTCAGAGCCATCACTTTCAACCTTTTAAAGCTGATTATCTTTGTATTTATCTCTAAATAACATGTTACATTTTTGATGTTTCATCTTTCAACATTTTATCTTGAGCTCCCTCTATAGAAATTAGGTAATTCATTTTACCATAGAATATATTTATTCTTAGACCCAATTCTCAATATAGTTAAATTACTCTTTTTGTTAGGTCATTATTCAGTAATTACACTATTATTACCCTGCGAATACTCCTCCTGGCTGATTCACGTAGTTAATTTTCATTGCATTTCTGTCATATGTAGCATTGTTTTCATTGTAGTAAATATTTGTTCCTTGTATTTTCTTTTGCTTATTTTTTCATGGATTCATTAGCAACTCAAGTCTCCACTGTCCACTTGCCTATTCTCATTCCAACACACCCACTCATACTCAGGCCTTCATCCCCCTGCAGAAGTCTTGCCTGGAGGCTTCCAACCCACCCCAATCCACTTCCTTCCCTCCAGGCCTATGTACAGAGCTCTTCCAGCATTTTTTTCAACTACTGTCCTTAGAATTTTTTCCCTTTGTCTTCTATGTTTGTCTCCTGGATAGATATCTCACATTTTCCTCTTTGTAGGTGAACACACTTACTTTCTTAGGTCACACACTAAAGTAGCTTTCTGAGAAAAAAAAGTGTATGGAAAGATATCTTATATACTCACTGGACAATATTTATTATAGTCTCATATTTAATGAAGGGGAATAAATTCTTATTTTTAAATTATTCTTGGGACTAAATGCTAATTAGAAGTAATTTTTCCTCCAGAATTTTAAAAGAATTCTTGCTTTATTTTCTAAGTTATCAGTGTCATTTTTAAGGAGTACAGAATACTTCTAGCCTATGGGTCTTTGTGGGCAGTGTAGAATCTGAGAAGATCCAGTTGCTGAAGTTTTTTTGTTTTGTTTTTGGTGGAACCCGGAATTGAACTCAGTCTCTTGCACTTGCCAGGGAAGCACTTATTCCACTGAACCATCTCCCTGGCCCCCTTTATGGAATAAGGGTTTTTTTTTTTTTCTCAGAATGCCTTCAGGGCAGGTTTGGCTGGCTGGAGTGTTGTGGGGATCGAACTACAGCAACCTGAGGCTGACAGCTTTGTGGAAGCAGCCACTTAAAGAACTGAGCTAGGGCCAGGCCCCCTGCTGATGTTTTATGATGATATGTTTTGGTAGCATTTGAATTTTATTTACTGTGCTGATCACTTGATGTATCATTTCCACCTCCCCTCCCATTTTTTTCCTATTCTCTTTTCCAGAAAATCTATTGTTTCTGTGCCAGAAATGAATCTTATTGTTTTATTGTCTTCATTTTTTTCTTTGTCTTTTTTTATCACGTCTGAGAGATTTTCTTAATTTTATCTTTCAATATTACTAAGTTTTCTTTCATTTTAATTTTCTTTCTTTCTTTTTTTTTTTCATATTTGGTACAGGATCTGGAGGGCCTACAGGGTCTCATTATGTAGATCAGACTCATACTAATTCTCCTGTTTTCAGCCTCCCAAAGAGCTAGGATTACAGGTGTTCAACTCCACTCCCAGTCTCAGTCACCATCTCAGAGTGCTCCAGGGGTGGCGCCAGCACAGCAGGCTGGGGATTGAACCCCACTCAGGCACTTTAGTCTGCTGAGCTATCTGGCTGGCCTTTTTAATTTTCATTTGTTTTCTAATCTCTCTCTCTCTTTCATTTATTCTCTCTCTCTTACTCTATCTATCTATCTATCTATCTATCTATCTATCTATCTATCTCTTTTCAAATTTTATAGACACAATACATCTCTTTCCTCTTGAAAATGTTATGTGTGTGGCTCTTTTGAAAGTTCTTCTTTGTTTCATTTATTTATTTGTTATTTCCACTGTGTTTCTTTCTTTTTTCTTTTTTTTTGTCTCTGTCCCTGTCTTCCATGATAAATTAGTGCTGCTGTCTAGTTCTCTCTTGTCTTCTCCTTTCTTATTTGATTATGGCTTTATAAATATCCACTCAATTGCTGTGGCGTGTAAGTTAGCTGCTTAACAGTAGCCTCTAACCAACCCAGCAAAAGATTTGCATGTTGGTGGGAATTCTCAGGGAGGATGCTGGTGGGTCACACGTGGCTGTATTGCTTTCATTCGGAGGCTCTAATGACTCTATCTCCACGTTTTTCCTCTTGGACTCGGCAGACTTCTCATTCATCTAGAGGGTAAGGAACTGTCTGGAGCGTGCCGAGCGATGGGTCATGAATCTGAGCACGGGGTCTAATGTTTAAGCTTTGTTTTTAGAAAGGTCCTGCTCCCTCCACTCTATCTGTTTTCATCAATCAGGAGATCCTTTTTACTCTTCCTTTAGAAAAGACCCTTTAGAATACCCCTCCACGTTCAGGTGCATAATAATAAGAAGGAGAAGGAATATGGCACTGAATTGCTTCTTAAACAAACTACTGGCTGACTCTCCTCTTTTGCTGCCACCTCAACTATATTCACATATACCTGGTTCTATAAATACTTGAGTCTTAAGGTGTGCGAGGAAGCACTTTACTCCAATCTACTTAGCCAAATTACTTGTGACTTAACAAAATGTTATCCTTCACTCTCTTCCCCACTCCTTTTGTTTTTGTTAAATTGTACTTGGGTCTAAGGAGAAATCAAAGGAAAAGATGTTTGTTCAATCCTTTGGTGCTCTGGAAGGCCCTTTGTATGTCAAAGTCCATAAGATGTCCTTGACAGAACCCTGATCAAAGACATTTGAATCACCTGTGCCTACCCCCCGATTCTGTGATCTAGGTTCTCTTAAGAGTGTGGGTCACCTGCTTATGATAGGCAAACTGGGATTCCAAGGTTCTCCATTTATCTTTTTTTTTTTTTTTTTTTTTGATGGTACCGGGATGGAACTCAGGACCTTGCACTTGCCAGGCAAGCACTTATTCCACTGGGCTATCTCCCCAGCCCTCCAAGATTGATAGTTGCATGAGAATCATAATAGTGACAGTACCCCAAAAAGAAATGCATGGCTGACAAGCACCAAATGTGTCAGACACAGGGCAGCTTTGTTCTCTAAAAGGTACTGATTTTGAGGAGATAAGGATTTTCCTCATGGAAAGGCAACGATTTTCTTCAGTTGCTTTGTATTCAAAAAGCGTTGGCTCCATCGCACAGACACCAGTTATCCAAGCAGAAATCACCTCCCTTGTTGTTTTTCTCCATTGTAAGCTTCAGCAACATCTGTTCACACTCAGCACTCCGGAATCCATTGATTAATGCAGATACTTACTGAAGTGAGAGGGTATCACACACACTTCTCAAAGAAGTCATATCCCCTGGGAAGGAAAGGAGGTCAGGTGGGCAGGTATTCACAGAACTCTGGACCTGGGACTTGGGGACAATCTATGGAAGGGACAGACATAATGTTCCTTCCTCCTTTGATTTAGAGAACTAGAACAAAGAGGTATGCCATTTTTATATTTCCCTTCTTAAATTGCTGATGTCCCAAAGGAAAGAAACTTAGCTAGAAATTTTGAATCTGTGTGCATCATTTGTTTAGAATACTCTTAGATATTGTAACGATTTCTTCTATGTCCATGTCTAAGCTATTTGAGACACTCAAGGCAGTAGTGTCATCCTCCTTAAGTGTTTAAACTCTATGTTTTTAAGCTAAAAAAGAAAACAAAAAACAAAAACACTTTCAGTGCCCTGGCCATGGTGCCACGATGACGCAGTGGAGGGAGGACAAAGCTTCTGAAGGACATTCTTAATGGCAACCTTTACATGAATTCAACGATGGTGCCCGTACGTTACTGTCCTTTTCTTACTTAACAAGAACAAAAGGCCACATCCAGAGAAACTAGTCATTTGTGATGGGACACGATGACATTTTTATTTTTGAACTTTGCTGGTATAAAATAATCATCCAAGGAGCAGCTGAAGGTAAGTGTGAGGAGTTTGGCAGTAAAACCATCTCTCTGCATAGATTTTGGAAAGCCCAAGATGATTAGGTAAAATACAGTATTTTTATATAAAGAGAAGCATTAAATTTTTATAGGTTTTTAAACTTATACTTGGCTACATGAAATTAACTCTGTTTTTTTTTCTTCCTACTCTGCAGCTCATTAAAACTCAACTTTATCTTAATTCTGTGGCTTTCCACGATGCCTGTGTTTTGGTGTTACCCAGCTCTGTCTTCTAAGGTAAGTGTTTCACCTCTATTTTTGATGGCTGAATAGATGAGTAGAATTGTAGACTATCTAAACTCAAAATTGCCTCAAGAAATATGCAATGGAAAAGCAATTTATTTTATTTTTAGAACTTTCAATGAAAAAAATGTAATCAGATTCAAATTCAGAAATCAGTGAAAGGAAACATTTACATGCTAGAAAATAATACTGGACTACATTAAATTTGGAGTGAGTTAGTTAGGGTTGATCACTGCATAGAGAAATATTCATTTGCATGTAAAAATGTTAATTTTTTGCCCATGAACTTATTTTTCTATATACATCCATCTACTCATAATCAGAGTGACTACTTAGCCATTGAAATTATATAGCTGAGACACAGTGGTCAATTTTTCAGAAATAATGGATTTCCTAAATTTATAAAAAAGGCACATTCTTTAGGTACAGAATATAGACAAAATGCTAGACCTCTGTGAAATATTACATAAATATTAAGCCATATATGAATTCAAGAGTATTGCCTGAGTTCCTATGTTCACTGAACTGTTTAAGACATTCAGAAAATAAATGTCTTTCTTTGGTATGTTTAACACTATTTCATATGATATTTTACTTTATTTTAGGTCAATATTTTGTTTAAAATTTTAAAATAACTTTGGCTGCTGAGAACATTTTAAACTTTAACTTTTCTTCCCTGCAACTTAACCTGCCACACCATAATTATTAAAATCAAAGTAATTTATGAAATTGCTTTAGGATAAAGAAATGTCATATAAATCTTACATGATAAATCTGTGCTTCATCATCATACTCCAGTTATTTGTACTATCGCTCTTCTCACTAATCTTCACAGCTGTCATTTTTCTCTTTCTTGTTTGCTTAATACAGCTCCCCTTGCTCTGCTTTCCCTCCTATGATGGTTCAGCACTAATTTAGTCATTGATTCTATCAGACAGCACATTGATCAAGCTGATGAGCCACAATCCAGAAATTGGTGTATTCTCTCAAGTGTCTTCCCGATTTCTTTTTATTCTTCCCCCAAAGCTTTACTCATGACATTTTTGTTGAACAAGAAGCACTTGTCTGTAACTTAAAAAAAATTAAACAAAGAATATTCTTTCTTCGAAAGTACTTAAGAGACTATCTTGTCTATACATGAAATATTGCTCCTTTCACTCCATTTTCCATATTTTGGTTTTGCAGACTGCAATTTTGTTCTCTCATAACTCCATCATGTGCTAATGGTGTGGATGGTATTTATGTCAGTTGGATAGTTTCGGGTGAATGATTACACAGGCAAATGGCATACAGGATTTTGTAATATTTATCTCAAGCTTTGTACAGGCCTGGCAGCCGGGTTAGTACTTAGTGATTCTTTTAATGATTCTGCCTAACAAGAGCTGCCTTTAGATCAACTAAGTGCCTGAGCATCCTTTTAGTGATGGCTTAGGAATTTCACAATGAGACCTGGCACATTTCTTTTGCAATGTAAAGGTGGCATCCAGAGTCTTTCTGGAAAGAACTGGATTGTGTCCCCCACTGCAGTGACTCACTTGCACCTCCTGCTGGAGATGGAAAATAGATGACATTTACCTATTAAGATTAGGCTTCTGTTGTACAAGGGAAAAATACACAGTAGTATCCAACTAATTTTTTATTGATTTTTCCATAATCAATATTTATGAAATTATCTTTCACTATGCACAGATCAAAAAGAAAAAGAAAAACAAGCCCATACTTCCCCCCCCCTCCAGAGGTTGGTGGTTTTCTGAGACCTCTTGACACTAGTATCTTCAGTAGCTTACCCAGCCATGGCAAAGAATTCCAGGAAGCATTTTATATACCCTGGCCCCATTTCAACCTCTGAATACAGTAATTGGAGGCCACACTTTTCTTTCTTCACCAAGATAAAGTATATTTTGGTTTTTACTTTTTAGTTTTTACTTTGTTGTATGCATCTTTATTTATAATAAAATTGTTCAGCTCTTACAGTTACAGTACAGTCAAAAACCCAGGCTTGTATTCAAATGATTCAGCATAACTGACTTTAATTCCAACTCACATTTCCTCACCTAAAACTGAAGAAGTGACAGTATCTGCTTCACCAAGCTTTTTGGGGAACAAGACACCCAAGCCTGTGTCACTGAGATTCCTGATAGATCATTATTTTTATTATTGATGAGATTTTCATTAGTTTCTTGTCAGTGTATTATGATTCTTCTGAAGCCATGCAAGGGAGAAAAATGACAAGTGTTGACAGTCTCATCCAAGCCAGAGCTGAGAACTTGTCAGCTAGGCTGAGGGGCATGAACTGTGCTCTAGTATTTGATACCCTCCCATCCTACACATATGGGGTTGAACCATAAGTCCTTTAAGTCTAGTCAGATTCTTTAAGTCTAGTGAGAGCTCTGAGGTTTCAGACCTACTCCTACTCCTACTCCCTGCCCCTGTACCAGCTTGCACTCTCTGGGCCTCAAGCCACTGATGAGGACATGAGCAAACTCTGTAAGGTAAAGATGACAGGGCTCATGCTTGAGACTTCCTTAAGGAGAGCTGGCACATAGCCAGGGGCAATCCAGGGAACGTGATCCTCCCTGGAACCTGGAGTCTGATCTCCTTGGGTGCTTTTCTGTGTGAATTTGAAAAAGAATTCCCAAGACTCATTAGTGCCACTTGAAATATTCCTGACAAAAAAATAGCAATAAGATGCCTGTATTCAGTGTGTGATGTCAATGCTGAACAGCAGCAATTACATAAGTAGTTTAAAAATTAGTAGGTAGATTATTTCAAATAATATTTTGTATCTAGATAAAGCACACACTGCATTTTAACAAAATTTACCCCCCTTAAAAAGATGACAGATTGAATCTATCACCATAAAACCTGGGAGATTGTTCCTGTTGAAATAAACCTGTAACACTAATGCTGTAGTCTCTCCTTCCTCCCCCATCTGAATCACCAGGTGCCTGGAAAATCTGATTACTTTCTCATCCTGCTGCACAGCTGCCCAGCCAGGCTGGACGCAAGCGAGGGACTAGCTTTTCTAAAGCCAATTTTGGAGACAACACCTAAGAAAAGGTCCTTTCGCAATGGAGTTGGCACGGGGATGAAAAAAACTTCCTTTCGAAGAGCAAAAGCATGAAGAAGTGCGGGAAGAACTTGGGGAATTAATCTCAAACTATGTGGAGTGTGACTGATGTGCTAAAAGGTGGTGGCATCTTTATCATTAATGTTGGTTTGCTCTCAATTTCCAAATATTTTTCCTGTCCTAACTGGCTCAGAGTAGATTGAGGTTTGTTTGTTTGTTTGTTTTTTTAAAGTAGAACTACCCTAAACTTCTGCTTATGAAAGAAAAGAATATTTATCTGCTCAGTTAATAACTTTCTCAAATAGGAACTTATGTATTTGTTTTGATCTTAAAGTGGCTGGAGTGTGTATTTTTACAGCGATGAAAACAGTATATTTTCCCGTCTGTAATATTATATCAGAATATTGAAAACTGAAGTAAGACGTACACAATCCCTGCTTCCAAATATGACTGTCTCAAATAACTTAGCTGGATCAGGTCTGTCAGGCTATGCTACTTTCTGTTTGTGAATCTTAAAATTAGTGAAAGTTAAGATAGTGGTACAGTGATATTAACTGATTAATAAAAACTTACAACAAACATCGTTGTAGCCCTTGTGATGTAGTTCTGGTCTCTGTTTTCCAGTTCCAAATATCACTAACATGAACTGTTGTTTTGTCTTGGAAAATTTTTTTTTTTTTTTTTTTTGCATTTTAGAGTCTTACATGAAATGTTGCCAGAAATAATGACAAAAGAGATTTCTGGTTGCCATGTAGGATGGGTGAGTTTGGGAACTTGTTCCTTAAAACTGGACTTGACTTCCCCAATGCTGTCCTAGGAGAGGTCTCCACCACCCATTCCATAGAAATGCTTGACATTGCTTTTTTTAAGACAAAAAGCTAACGCCACATTGGTTATTGTGTCATTATGTGGTTGTTGTGTTCATACATGTTGAATTCTGCCGCACACTGATGGTCTTCACATGCAGCTCCCAGACTGAGAGCATTAGAAGACTCAGAAAGACGCCATCTTTGGTCACTGACTTCAGACAGAGACACCGAGTTCTCAGACAATTGTCCTGAAGGTGAGAGGTCTCACAGCAGCCAGATAGGTCTGCTCCTCAGATGCATCCTTATAAAAAGCAGCCTCCCAATACACTGTGTGCAGCAGTTGCCAAGGATTCTTCCACAAGCCCTAAGCCTCTGAAGGTCTGTGTTTTGCCCTTGTCTTTTGTGAAAACAGGTGGTCTCATGGTTCGGCTTCTATTTGTCGCCGAACAACAGTCAGGATTTGCAAGAAAATCCATTTAATACATGACACATAATTTATAGGATTATTTTATCATATTCACCCACAAAGTCAAGTGCAGAAGAGTGCAAGAGATACAGGTTCTAGACACAGCCCTAAAGACTCCAGTCAAGGCCCTGGATCCTGTGTCAATGTCCCACAGGGGTACAGCTGAAGGCCTAAAACCCATAAGTCCTCCATAAATCTAGCTGGAGAGTTAGAGTCCACAGCAATGCCTCATTCAAGTCTGCATCATGATCTATATAGGGGAGGTCCAAAAGCCAGTGGTAGAAATTAGAAAGTCTGTGCTAGGGAAATGAAGGTTCCATGCCATCTGCACTGGAGCCAGGAAGCTACCCTGAAGGTGAGGACCAGAGCTCCCCTGAAAAGAACAACAGCCATGCCTGGTGACAGGGAGGACTCGAGCTCTTCTGACAAAAAGAACAGCAGAGCTGGTATCATGAAAACCAGCTGCAGCAAGCTTGTCCAGAAAAATCAACAGCATACCACCTTCCCTTCCCATTCTCGTTATGTCATTCTGGCAACAATCCTCAGGTGGGCGGTGCACACCCTGAACTACCCTGACTGGGTGTGACTGGCCATTCCAAGTTGACCATTAGTTAATCCACCACCGTACTTTTTGTTCTTACTACCCAAACCAATACCAAGTATTTGGAGATAGAATAACAGAATATTGCAGATACTTTTTTATTTTAATTTTTTTCCATAATTTTATTGACAGACAAATAGCAATGAGATAGTTTCAAATCAAATTGGTAAGACAGTTTCAATAATTAACATGTTGTATACTGACTTCCTAGTGGTTATTTGCTGTACAAGATGCAGACATGATATCCTATTTACAAACACTATTAGAACAAATCCCTGTATTCATTAAGAGAATGTAACTATATATCTATCCTAACCATTTTGAATACACAGGTACAAAATAGACATTCATTTATATATCCCCTTTTTTGTTTAGTTCCGTCATTTGAATATTATAGGTGTGTTAACTCAGCAAAAATATTCTAAAAGAGTCCAGCAGTCCATAATAGTATTGGGTCTTGTGTTTGACTGGCAGTGTCAGAAATTGTTGACCTGAGTCCCCTACAGCTCAACATAATACCATCTTTACTTCTTGTACTTTGTTTTTATACTTTTCTGCTGGATAGTTAAGACCAAGGTAAAGCAAGATATATGCAACAAGAGTTGTAGCTTTTGGATCTGATAAACCCTTTCAGGATTTATCCTGAGATCCTGTACCTCAGATTGTAGACCCTTTGTCAGTGTCAGCCATGTGGATGAGTCATGGCCATTGCTTGGCCAACGTGCTCCCCGTGAAAGCCTGAGAGAATGTTTTTTCTCCATGTGACTCTCCTTAGGCACACTCTACATCATCAATCACATTCCTCTTTGGCCCCATACTCTCCTTGATCAGAAAATTTGGGACACTACTGAGTTACACGGCGTTACAGTACAAGATCTCATATGTCCTGAGTTTTAATTGACCTTGGAAGGCTAGGGCCAAAATATTGCCTTTCCTTGTGACCCTCCTTTTTGTCTAATTTTGGTCTGCAAACTTAGGTTGTTAACCCTCCAGAAGAGAAGCTTATTGTTATTACCATACAACCTAGGCTGTTAAGCTTAACTCACTATCTGTCTGAATATCAAACATCTTTGGCATTACATGGAACAGGTATTTTTCATCAAGTATTGATATGTTGAACTTTAAGTCCTTACAGAATATGATGAAAAAACATTTAAAAAATTAAAATATATTTTAAAAATAGGCATAAAGAATTATATAATTCTTATGTTTACACATAAGTCCAGAAATCTAACCATATACAACCTTGTAGCAGGACAGTCCTGCAACATTCCTTTTCCTGTCTCTTGCCTTCATTCACCACCCCCTTCTTTTTGAACAATCATCTACCTGACAGACAGCACAGCAGCAACTGGCATGTCATGTGCTTTTGCTTTTTTTTTTTTTTCTTTTTGCGGAACCAGGGATTGAACTCAGGCCCTTGCACTTACCAGGGAAGTGCTTATTCTACTGAGCCATCTCCCCCTGCAGATGCTTGTTAGAAGTAGTGACACGGAAGAATTAAGGAATAGCAAGAGACATATTTTGGGAGGCAGAGAGTAGGCTTTAAGGCCTATAGGCAGTGTTCTCTGCTCCACCCTGGTCACAATCTGTCTCTTGTCCCTTTCTAGTAGCATTTTCCTCCCTACAGACTGATAATCTGCAAGACCCATGTGTCTGTTTTCCCACAACACCAGTCTGCCCGGGGCTTTAGGTTTCTCTGCACAACCTCACAAGCCCAGTGCCTAACACCTGGACCAACACCTTTGATTTCCCATTGAGAATGTGGGTCCTCTGATGATGCTTTCCATAGAACTAGAGGTGCAGAAATCTGTATTTGACATGAGCTGGGAGAAAGAAGGAAGAGGGAGAAGAGAAAGAGGAGGAGGAGGAGGACAACGTGGAGGAGGAGGAGGAGGGGAAGGACAAAGAGAAGAAGGTCACATCACTGTGTTTCTTACCCTGCTCTTTTACTGTTCCCAGGATCCAAAAACCTTTTGCTTTCTCATCTTTTTTTTTTTAATCACATAGTCTCGTATGGGTGGGGGCAGATGAAATCTCCAATAACTCTTAATGATTCTTCTTAGTTGAATTCATCTTATTTTTCCTTAGGTTATCTCTTTCTCCTTATTTCTGTCCTTCTAAACACAGATACAGGAGAGAGAAATGGAAGGAAGGAGAGAAATACAGGGAGGGATGGAGGGAGATGGGAGGAGGAAGGGAGACGGGGGGGAGAGAGAGACAGACAGACAGACAGACAGACAGACAGACAGAGACAGAGACAGAGACAGAGACAGAGACAGAGACAGAGAGAAGAGGGCAGCTGAGGGTGAATTTTCTAGATCCAAAGGTACAGTTTGGGTCATAGCTTGTCATCCCCCAGATGATAGAAGTGCAGGGATGAAGACAGGAGAGGACAGAGAGAATTCAGCCAGAGCTGCCCCTCTGGCTGTCCACTGCTTGGGCCTGGCCTCTCTGGGTCATCGTCATACCACAGTGCCCATGGTATGTCCTCTGGCACCTCCTCCTACTAGCAGTGCATGTGAGACCACACCAGCCCAGGGCTGGCTCTGCGGCAACATGGCTATTGCCTCCGCTCCCATGGCTCAAGGCAGGGGGCAGGCGGAGGCTCTGGTGTAGGCGTGGACTATAGGCTCTTCCTGCAGTGTGTGTGCCTTCAGCGTGGAGGCATGCCCAGGGTTGGCATGTGAGCCTGGAGCCCGTGGCTCCTCACTGGTTGTGTTAGCTTTCTCTTTCTGCTTTGGAGTCACAGTGTCAAAAGTCATTGAGAATAAGTAAAATATATATCATATATATTACACATTTCATAAAAAGAAAAATAGTATTTTTTAACAGACAGCATTGCCCTTCTATGGGAAAACCATAGAGGATGTTGCATATCACAGATGATCCAGGACACTTCTGTCTTGAAATTGCAAATGTGTGTATAGCAATCTCAAGGGCCAATGTTACCCAGCCCTCAGCTCACCATACTACTAAACGTCCCGAGGCGAGTGGCCACCACTCTGAGCGCCTCTTGTAATTGTAGAAGCCAAAGGTAACTTGTATTCATCTCAAGGTGTCTCCATAAATTTAGTATTAAAATATTTGCACATTTTCTTTTCCTGCAGTGCGTGTGCCTTTTGCGGTGACTGGGTGGCAGTAGCTGCGCCCTCCCTTCCCTTAGGCCGCCTGGATT